AGAGAAGCGTTTGAAATCGCGACTTTTCTTCGCACTGGGAAATGAGGGGAAAAACGATTTTTGGATTCTTACCCTCACCTGGACCTCAATACTAGCTCTTTCATTGATTTTCAAAAGTGCTGCGAAGATCTTTTCAAGGCAGAGCGGGACAACACAGTCGAAAAGATAATGTTGTATAATACTATTTTCACGCAGGATGATGACTCATTCTCATCATTTTATGCAAGACTTAGCGCTCAAACTGCGCTGTGTAATTGGCCGCTCGATCAGGAAAGAGCGACGTTGAAAGACTTGTTCATTGGCCGCATTCTCGATGTGGAGGTTCAGAGGCAATTAATCAGAGCAAAAGCTAATCTTGACGATACTCTACAACTGGCATTGGAGAATGAGAAAGGGGCTAAAACATCAGAACAATTTCAGAAATTGCTCCCGCATAGCAACGCTACTTCTAATAGTACCAACTCTATTCGAGTCAAGCAGGAACCAACTTCGTCAGTACAACAATTCAAGAATCAAGGAAACAACAGCCGGGGAGGAGGTGTAAACCGTCCTAACCAACAACAAAGTCAAAATAAACCATGTTATTTTTGCGGTAACCCGTTTTCTCTTGAACATCGCCGGTCGTGCCCGGCCAGGGAAGCTACTTGCAATGCTCGCAAGAAGAGGGGACATTTTGCTAAGGTGTGCAACACTACAAAACGACGTGCTAACATGGTACAAAATGAAGAGATGTCTTCAGATCAAGAGTGCAATTTAATTGACGTAAATGGTGACAGCGAGCCGGAATATGGGGTCATGGCGATAGACGTTGTGCAGATTAACAATGTAGAACTGCTGAAGGCAGCGGGAGGACAACCAAGGAGCCTCAGCATTCAGTTACGTTGTGGTAATTCCTTTTTCTATGCTACGGTGGACACTGGCAGTCCCGTGTCTTTCTTAAACAAGAAAACGGCGGAAATACTCATGAAACGGATTCCTAATGTTAAATTTAAGGACGTCGCGAGACACCCACTAGACGTTACTTATGTTGACTATAACAAGAAACCGATTACACTGTTCGGATCACTAGAAATCCCTATTACGTCGAAGGGTTGGAAAATCGAAAATGCGTGTTTCTTGGTTTCCGAAAATCTTACGCGGAATTTACTCGGATTGAACCTTCATGAGAAATTGGGAATTAAAACTGTGCAACGCGGACCGGCAGAAGATAGCTTGGCGGAAGAAGAGCAGGAGTTGGATCCGACCACACAGTTCTGGAGGGATCATTTTGTCCGAAGGTACCCTAATGTGTTCAGCAGGCTGGGGAGGTCGAAAAATCATAAAGTATTCACGAATTTTAAAGACCTTTTGGTGCCTAGACAAGTTAAAGGCCGAAAAGTCCCTATAAATTTGCAAGATCGAGTCACGGCTGAGATTAAAAAATTAATCAAAGACAAGCACATTGAAAAATTAGAAAAGTGTACTACGGATCATTTCATCGCGCCCATAGTTCTAACAGCAAAAAAGACGGGTCTATAAAACTTGCGCTTAATGCTAAGGCCATGAATGCTCAAATCTGGCAAAATAAATACCAAATGCCTAATATGCATAAATTGATTGACTCGGCGGCCCAAATCATAACTAGAGACACACCTGGGGAAGTGTGGTTTACTTCTCTTGACCTTAAATACGCTTTTAGTCAATTACCTTTATCGGAGCTAACCAGTAGTCATAGTAACTTTAGTATTTTGTGTGGAGAGGCAACAGGCACCTATCGATTCAAGATTGGTTTCTACGGACTGACGGATATGCCTACGGAACTCTAGAAAGCGATGGACTGTACTTTACAAGGATTGGAAGGCGTCATATGTAACCTTGATGATATACTGGTTGATACTAAAGGACAAATTGAGGATCATAATGTACTGGTCGAAAGAGTCATGAGTCGATTGAATGAAGAAGGATGGGTGTTGAAACTTAGTAAATGTGAGTTCTCAGTTAACAAGTTAGTCTGGTTAGGGTATGAAATCGATGAAAACGGTTACGCTACGAAATTCTCGAAAATAGAGGCCATCAAATCCCTGTTACCACCAAAAACCCTTAAGCAGTTAAGATCGTTTATGGGGAACCTCAATCACCTTCAACGTTTCATTCCGGATTTGCACAAATATACAGTTGTATTCAGAGTTTCGTTAAAAGCGGAGAATAATAAATCTTTTTTGTGGGGGGAAGAGCAAGACATTGCGTTTCAGAAAATTTTAAACCTCATCGCAAACATCCCTAATTTGTTTCACTATGATGCTTCGAAGGCTTCGCGAGTTAAATGTGATGCAAGTCACAGCGGGCTGGGGGCTTGTTTGGAACAAGAAGTCGAACCAAATTGTTGGGCTCCGATTGCGTTTGCTTCTAGGTTTCTAAACTCCGCAGAAATCAAGTATAGTACCAACGAGTTAGAGCTTATGGCCATTGTATGGGCGTGTGAACACTTCCTTACTTATTTACTAGGTCATCGCTTTGTTATTCTAACCGATCATAAGGCCATTATTTCCGCTCTCAACGAAACTTATGGCAAGAAATCTTATCAGTCACGACTCTCTCGCTGGGCGGACCGCCTTATTCCGTTCGATTATCAAATCGAACATATACCCGGTTCCTTCCTAGGTATTGTAGACTATATGTCCGGATACCCGACGTTTGAAGCACCTTTACCGTCATCGCATGATGAATTATTTGTCTTTAAGTCTATTTAAGCTTTTCACAATGCTTTAAATTTGATTAGTTCTCAATCCAAACCTCAAATAGTGCCGGTGGGGCAAATTTCATATTGTAACCAATTTCAACCAATCAGATCGTTTGGTGAAACTTGAGGCAATATTGGCTACCTCTTAACTCAAACAACGGACCAATCAACAGTTGATTCATCTAGCCAATCGCATTCTGGCAAACAGTTTCGTTCGTCGTCGCTAGAGGGCGTCGTGAATAATACTCAACCTGCTAACCAATCTCAAAAGGATATGCTAATTTATCGTCATAATTTCTCGCCGATAAAGGGCGTTAATTCATGCTCTCAGTCAACCAGCCAATCATATGCTAGTATGCAACATTGTGAGTATATATCATCGTCGCGAGAGGTCGACTTTTCATGCTCTGATAGTCTCGACCAATCACAGCTCAGTATGCAAATGAGATACGCTAAACCGGAAGTTTTTGATCAAACTCATTGTCTCCGATCTTACATCTCAGAATTCAGTCACGATATGGATACTTCAATTAATCTTGCTCAAAATACTACTCTCAACTCTACTCTAAATAACTCTAATACTTCTACTAATTTTATTGACTTCGCAAATAACACCATCGAACAAACAAATCTCCTCAAATTTGTTGAAAATTTTTCTTCTAGTTCGCCTACTTTTCGTACCTCAAGTCAACAAAGACCCGGACTCTCTACAGTTCGCCATATGGAACGCCCGAGCCGTATGGATCAGATACGTACCCTCAACCTTGCCAGATTGAGACATTCACGAGAACGTTTTGTGGTTACGCAAGGACAGACTACACAAAAGGCCCTTACCCAGTTCCTCAACAAGTGTCGGAGGCAACGGCAAACGAGACAGGCTAGACAGGGGGGAGATACTCTGAATGGGGTTTAATGCCATCAATAACCACAAACCGCTGGTCACTCCGGATAAAAAGAAAGTGGTCGGATTGCCAGGATTGTTCGATGTGGATCCGCTGGGAGAGCTGACAGGAGAAGACCCGTTCCTCGGACCGATGAGGACTGCGATCATTAAGAAGGATGTGCAATCCTTCAACAAACTGGGGGCGTACATGGCCCAATTCTGGACGGAGGCGGCGGTGGTGAACAATTGTGTCCTGATAGACAACAAATTGGCCATACCCGAACAATTACGAAGTGCTGTTTTGATTCGACTTCAACGCTCGCATCCAGGCCAGGCGGCCATGATGGGCGCCTCAGAATATATATGGTGGCCATTTCTCAATCGTCAGATCGTTAACGTCTGCGAAAAATACCCGGAGTGTACTCTATTTGGTAAGAACATCAAAACTTCAGCAACTTATAACTCAGCTAAGCCGTTACCACCGTTGTCAGCTCCGAATCAAGAATTGCAACTTGATTTTGCGGGTCCGTTAATAGATGATAAAAAGGGGAAAATCTACATTTTAGTCACAATAGATCGTTTTTCTAAGTTCCCTTTGGTGATGTTAACTAAGACAACCAGTGCGAAAAAAAAAGTCAAATTTTTACGATCGTATATTCGTAATTATGGTATACCGGAAAGCATTAGAATATATCACGGATCTGGGTTCAACTCTGAAGTCGTTAAAGAATTTTGCAAAAGTAGAGGCATAAAACATATCCTCACAGCGGTGGGGGATCATCGGAGTTGTGGGCTGGTGGAGAGGTCGATCTAGACCATTAAACGGAAGTTAGGAACAGAAAAATTGGATCCTAATTTTAAAAACTTGAAGTCTACTTTACAACAAATCATTGACGATGTTTGGAAAGTTAAGCATTCTACGTTAAAAGTATCTCCTTTTGAGCTACATTTTGGGAGGAAGCCTAACACTGAGTTTTCGTTAGCGCGTGCTAATGTTGTTCATTCTCCTACTTCAGCGCAAGGACTGGAGAGAAACCTCCTAACTCCAGAGCAGCAATCAAGCCAAGATTACAGCCGCGATAGGGCTAAAGTTGTACCCAGAGGAGCGTCTCATACTCCGGAAATCCCCTGTAAATTCAAACCACTCTTTGGTGTGGGCGAGCATATAGCCGATAGTCAACCTTACAAGGCCTTGGAGAACCTTGCGAAGGCGGCTAACACCTGGAAGCAGTGGAAACGGAATGTGCCCCCACAACAAGGACAAGACTTCTCCGCGAATTGGCGGCTCGTAATAGTGACCCCGCAAACTCGCTGAAATCGGGGATCACAAAGGGAACCTTACGTTTTTACGACAACGTTCGTGATACCTCAGCACCAGCACTCTCGCATTCCCAGCGAATGAATGTGTCGTCCTCTTCAAGGCCAAAAAGACTCTCAAAAACACCTACGCCTGGCACAGTGGGAGAACGGTTACAGCGACGAAATGCTCCTCGGCCTCAGTCTCAACCATCTACTTCTTCAGCTACGAGACCCATAGCAGAACCTCAGAAGGGCAAGGTGATCGACCTCACAGCAGAGTCATCAAGCGAGGACTCTTTAATCACTGGACCTCAGCTTGAGTTGGTGGAGGCACCTGTTACAACGACTCAAGGATTGGCTCCCGTGGTCGCTACGTCGAAAGCTCCGGTGGTTCATCCTTTGACAAATTCCGCCTCGACATCTCCCACAGGGGCTCGAGCAACGCCTAAGGATCCGCCTATCACACTTCAGCCACAGATTTCCGGCCCCGTTCCTCAGGCTGCAGCTCCGGACCCGGCGGCTACTGGACATGCGGATGTTGACGTTCCCACCTCCCAATCTACGAGCGATTCAAACAGATCTTCTAATCGGTCCAAGAAACCGATGAGGTTTTATGGCGATCCTCTTCGCCATTCAGTCAAGAGTGTAACTGAATCCGACCCTGCAGAGTCTTCGTCACAACGTTTAATCACAGAACAGACGATTACTACGCCTTTCACCCCAATTGTTCGTAAAGGATCGCAAGTGCCTTTTCCTAGAACTAAAGAGCAAACTACTCGACTAGCATGATAAAACTTCTTAAACTTTAAAACTCACATAAACTCCGCTCTATTCGACTTATGATTGGGTTATGAGCTGACATACTAACATGTGCTAATTCTGCCTTATACATTCTGAAATTTATACAAGATAAGTTTTTCTAGAGGGGGAAGTGTCATGAGGCGACCTTCGGTACCTCATTCTACCCTATTTACTTATGTATGTTTTTTTAACAATGTCTTAAACATCTACTTATAGTGCAGTAAATTGATTCAAGGACAAATCTCACCAGTCAAATCGTTTGTCACTTGAGAACCTGAAGCGGTCACTTGCGAAAGCCTTAAGTGTGAAATCTAGTCGTTAAAACATTCTTGTTATTCAAAACAATACATTCAATCTGGAATCGTTATCCAAATGTACATTATTCTATTATATCTATTTATATATCATATTTAATTCAGTATCCGATTTTTACAATAATGTTTTCTCTACTCCAACTGAGGGAAATCTCAGACCAAAAACAGGTAAATATAAAAATGAAGCCAAACAAAAAGTAGTCCATAACAAATAAACAGAACCGAGGACAAAAACGAGTACTTACTTTGTCAGACAGTATGTAATCTAATTTTCTGTTTTTTTTTGTTTGATATATCATTTTCTTTATCTAGCCTCTGATTGTAACAATCAACTGGAAAGGTCTATTCTTTACTTGCACTCTTGCACTGAAAAGTTATTTGAGTATTTTAAAATGTTAAGGCTAATTCTCAATCAAAACAAAAGGCTAGAGTGCTGGAGAAAACTACTTATCAAGCAGTGCGCGTGAAGCGAAGAAAGTATCCTAGACGCCGAAAAACCGACTGCTGGATATTGTCGAACATGTGCATATACCTGTTTCTGGATTTGCTTAGTTCAGATATGAGTAGTTATGTTGCATAGTTCAACCGACAGCTTTTGAATGGTATTTCGTAGGTTAACCCGGTTGTATGAAAAAAATACCTGCAAGTGGTTCTTCTTTAGAAACGGTAGAAACGGTTAAAATCATCCTAGTATTCATCTTGACGCTAGCCAATCGTAATAGGGTTTAATTTTACTATCCGTTGTTTTTTTCCGGGCGAAAAAAACAGCTGTTTCAATGGCCCTCCTGAGTGTGATTTAATACATCATGATTGGCGAACGTAGATGCGATCCACTCCGCGCCCATTGGATGCCATTACGAAGGTTTTTAAACGCTAGCCATAGGGGTTGCCCAAAATGCCATAGGGGTTGCCATAGGGGTTGTTTTACTGATTTTATTTTTTTACCTGGTTAGGAAGGAAAATTCCCGCATAATGGGGGTGGAGGATAGGTGGACGCGCTGTTACTTGAGCGGTTTAGAATCAAAATCAATTAATTTTTGGGAGTTGAAAAAAAAACATTTTAAAACTATTACAAAACCAGCAGCATAACCATGAAAACAACAAAAATTAAGAAAAAACAAAAAAACCCATAAAAATCAGTCATAACTTCGCACAAAAGATGCTTTCCAATGTTCATCCTTCAAAAGATTCGATATTATAATATAATTTTTTTTTAAACTTGATTATAACGATCAACTGAAGTGGTCTCTTTTATGCTTGTAAAAGTTTTATTTGCGTGCTTATTCAAGTTGATGCTTACTTTCAATCGATCCGGAAGGGTGGAGTGATTGAAGAAAAGGCCCTATCAAGACTTGCGAGGAAGAGCAAAAAAAGTATCATGAACAACAAAAATCGATAATCATTGATTGTTAATACAGTCGTCAGCCAGGTTTTTTTTAAAAAACTTTTATGAAAAAAACCTATCAAGACGTTTACTTATTTTATATTTTTTATTACGCTCAACCCCCGCTAAGACCACCCTTTAACAACCGATTGTTTGATCAAAAAAAATCTTTTAAAAAATGCTAATTGGACAGCAAAGTTTTTAGGCTGTATCAATTTACTACATCGAAAAAAGATGCTGACTTCGTGAGTAATTCATCGTCTTTAATAGTTTAGTCGTTCCTTAAGGGTCCAAACGCCAGCCATAGGGATTGGCCAAAATGCGAAAGCCTTCCAGCCAATTTTACTGATTTATTTTTCTTACCTGGTTAGGAAGGGAAATTACCGCATAATATGGGTGAAGGATAGGTCGACCCGCTGTTAATTGAGCTGTATAGAACCAAAAACAAATAATTATTGGGAATTGAAAGAAAAAACATTTTAAAACTATTACAAAAGCAGCAGCATAACCATGAAAACACCAAAAACTAAGAAAAAACCAGAAAACTGTAAAAATCACTCATATCTTCGCACACATGATGCGTTCCATTGTTCATGCTTCAAAACATTCGATATTATAATTCACTTTAAACCTGATTATAACGATGAACTGAAGTGGTCTCTTTTGTACATGTAAAAATTTTAATTGAGGGCTTAGACAATTTAATGCTTACTTTCATTCAATCCGAAAGGGTAGAGTGATCGAAGAAAAGGCCCTATCAAGACTTCCAAGGAAGAGCAAAAAAAGTATCATGAACAACAAAAATCGATAGCCATTGATTGTTATTACAGTCGTCAGCCAGGTGTTTTTTAAACACTATTATGGAAACATCCTATCAAGACGTGCGAGGAGGAGAAAGCTGGGTTTTGTTGATCGTTTTTGCATCAATTTGGGTACAGCAAGTATGACATCAGATAGTGAAGGGCCCAACAGTGACTGCACTGAAATTACCTCTCGCTGAGTAGCAAATTTTCGAGCTAAGCATTCGAATTGGCATTTTATGGGTATCTTTAATTATCTTATTTTTTTGTTACGCTCAATCCCCGCTAAGATCACCATTTAACAACCGATTGTTTGATCAAAAAAACCCTTTTAAAAATTATAACTGGACAGCAAAGTTTTAGGGATGAATCTATTTTCTACATCGATAAAAGACGCTGACTTCGTGAGTAATTCAGCGTCTTTTATAGTTTAGTCGTTCCTTAAGGGTCCAAACGCCAGAGCCAGCCATAGAGGTTGGCCAAATTTGAAAGACTTCGAGTTTTACTGATTTATTTTTTTTACCTGGTTAGGAAGGGAAAGTCCCGCATAATGAGGGTTGAGGATAGGTGGACCCGCTGTTACTTGAGCGGTATGAAACCAAAAGCAAACAATTATTGGGAATTGAAAGAAAAAACATTTTAAAACTATTACAAAAGCAGCAACATAACCATGAAAACACCATAATATAAGAAAAAACCAAAAAAACTGTAAAAATCAGTCATACCTTCGCACATAAGATGCGTTCTAAATTTCATGCTACAAAAGATTCGATATTATAATTTAGTTTAAACCTGATTAAAACGATCAACTGAAGTGGTCTTTTTTATACTTGCAAAAATTTTATTTGAGTGCTTAGACAAGTTGATGCTTAGTTTCAATCAATCCGGAAGGGTAGAGTGATTGAAGAAAAGGCCCTATCAAGACTTGCGAGGAAGAGCAAAAAAAGTATCATGAACAACAAAAATCGATAGCCATTGATTGTTAACACAGTCGTCAGCCAGGTTTTTTTTTAAAAACTATTATGGAAATAACCTATCAAGACGTGCGAGGAGGAGTAAGCTGGGTTTTGTTGACCGTTTTTGCATCAATTTGGGCACAGCAAGTATGACATCAGATAGCGAGGGGCCCAACAGCGACTGCACTGAAGTTACCTCTCACTGAGTTGCAAATTTTCGAGCTAAGCATTCGAGTTGGCAATTTATGAGTTTCTTTACTTATTTTTTTTTATTACGCTCAATCACCGCTAAGACCACCCTTTAACAACCGATGGTTTGATCAAAAAAATTTTTTAAAATATGCTAATTGGACAACAAAGTTTTTAGGACGAATCAATTTTCTACATCGATATAAGACGCTGACTTCGTGAGTATTTCAGCGTCTTTTATAGTTTAGTGATTCCTTAAGAGTCCAAACGCCAGCCATAGGTGTCGGCCAAAATGCGAAAGCCTTACAGTTTTTTTGATTTTTTTTCACCCGGTTAGGATGGAAAACTCTCGCATAATGGGGGTGGAGGATAGGTGGACCCGCTGTTACTTGAGCAGTATAGAACCAAAAACAAAAAATTATTGAGAATTGAAATAAAATTTTTTTAAAAACTGTTACAAAACCAGCAGCATAACCATGAAAACACCAAAAATTAAAAAAAAAACTAAAAAACTGTAAAAATAAGTCATACGTTCGTACACAAGATGCGTTCCAATGTTCATGCTTCAAAACATTCGATATCATAATTTAAATGAAATCTCATTATAACGATCACTTGAAGTGGTCTCTTTTATACTTGTAAAAGTTTTATTTGAGTGCTTAGACAAGTTAATGCTTACTTTCAATCAATCCGGAAGGGTAGAGTGGTTGAAGAAAAGGCCCTATCAAGACTTGCGAGGAAGAGCAAAAAAAGTATCATGAACAACAAAAATTGATAGCCACTGATTGGTAATACAGTCGTCAGTCAGGTTTTTTTAAAAAAAAACTTTTATGGAACTAACCTATCAAAACGTGCGAGGAGGAGTAAGCTAGGTTTTGTTGATCGTTTTTGCATCAATTTGGGTACAGCAAATATGATATCAGATAGTGAGAGGCTAAACAGTGACTGACTGAAGTTACCTCTCACTGAGTTGCAAAACTTCGAGCTAAGCATTCGAATTGGTAATTTATGAGTATCTTTACTTATTTTTTTTTATCACGCTCAACCCCCGCTAAGACCACCCTTTAAAAACCGATTGTTTGATCAAAAAAATCTTTTAAAAAATGCTAATTGGACAACAAATTTTTGTGGATGAATCAATTTTCTACATCGATATAAGACGCTGACTTTGTGAGTAATTCAGCGTTTTTCATAGTTTAGTCATTCCTTAAGAGTTCAAACGCCAGCCACATGGTTTGGCCAAAATGCGAAAGCCTTCCAGTTTTACTGATTTTTTTTTCACCCGGTTAGGAAGGAAAATTCCCGCATAATGGGGGCGAAGGATAGGTGGACCCGCTGTTACTTG